AAGCAGCTTGTTCAGGTATAGATTCGTCACACTAATGGAACCAAGAAAAGGCTTATTTCCTACCTAGACACCAATAAGGCAGGGTATAGGCAGCCTGTTAACTTCCTACAGAAAGGATTAGGACCTGAGGTCATGGCACATGGGCTCTTCCCTCAAATATGCTGATATCCTCAGGAAGGCCTTGAGTCTAAGCCCTTCTGATGCCATCAGGCTGAGTCCTCTGCCACCTCCACTGGTTGGAAAAGGAGAGGCTTGATCAGGTCAGAATAACGTGTGTGCCACACTGTGCAGCCAGACTGTCTGCCCCCTGGTGATTGGTGCTTGTCTTCTTAGCAACTCTGAGAATCCAGGCAAGAGTTATTAGGGTACCCCAGCTGTGTCCCCGTCATGCTCTAGGAGCCTGAGGACAGTTGTCCACTGCATTATCAGGGTAGGAATCATTCTTGAAGGAAGATGAATGGCAGGCCAAGGTCAGAGCCTCACAGGCCAGCAGAAATCTCTCATCAGTCCATTATCCTCCCCATCCAAAGCTGGAAATGCAAGATTTTCATTAAGAATGGCCACAGCTCCTCCAGGCTTCTAAAGAGCCCAGTGGGCTTTTCCCTTTATCATTAATCAAGCAAAGTGGCTGTTCGTGGAGACATTGTAGAAATAAACAGCAGGCACTGACCTCTGACCAAATCTGCAGACAGGCTCTGGTTGGCTAGCAGTGTCAGATAAGCAGTGGACAGAGGGTCCAGCTGGGAGGACAATCTGACATCCAGATGCCCCAGCACGAACAATCTATCCCCAGGCAAGGACTCTGTGCCAAACTGCTGCTAGCCCACCTGTCTTGAGAGGACACTATGGCCAAGCCAGAGGATGGAGCAGATGGTGGCCGAGGGTAAGGGTTATAGGAAGCTCTGTTCACCGCTGAATCAGAAGGGGGAATGTGAAAGAGCATCTGTCTCCATACAAACCTCTATCAGCTCCAAATACACATGTGGACACCTGCAGCCAGAGTAGCAAGCAGCTGTCCCCACAGAAACTACCTATGCACCTGACTCATGAAGACTTCCACACTGTCCTTGTCAGATGGCCATTTGGAGTCTTTACCATTAAGTGAAGCACAAAAAGTGACAAGAAATCTGTGGTAGCTGGAACGGAAGCCTGGGGGATGCTCCAGAGGAAAAGCCTCACTTATCAGACTGACAGAGACCTGTAACCAGGGTGGAGAACAGGAGCTTCTAGGAAATGGTGACTAGCATGTCGGTGGTGGTTTTAGCAAACTGAGTGCCAGAGGGGAGGGGTGATTCTGTCGGGCCATTCAACAGCTTTTAAGTGCACAGAGATGCAAAAATTCAAATCGGACAGGACACTTTATGACAATGCCACATTGGCCCCCTCAGCTTAGATCAAACAGCACAGTGGCCAGGCAGTGCACCTCATATTTCCCACTATGCCCTGGAAACCCATTTGAATAGATGGGGTGGCAATGTGCTAATGCTTCTGTTAGTTCAATTACAAGTTGAGATCACTGGGATAGGCAGTTCTAATGACAGAGCACAATAGTGAATCTTCCCGGAGCAAGGTTGCCTGGGCAATCTTAGCAAATCCTCAGGGTTCTCAGGGACTGGTTATCACTTTTATTACTGGCTGAGTCAGACAAGCCCTAAACTAACTTGTCAAGAAAACAAGAACGAGAAACACCCAAGTCAGACAGTGCTTGGTAGGGAAGAATAAACAACAGCACACAGGCAAACACAAAGCCTTTTGAAGCCGCTGGAAGCCACTTATTTAGGTATTTTTCTTCCAAGGGACTTTGTACTAAATAGCAACCAAATTGATTTGCTGTAATAGCACTTGGTTGGCTTCTCAAAACAGAAATCCCTGACCACAAGGCTAATAGAGGAAGACAGAGTCTCTGAGACCAATTCACTTTGGTAGAGAAGCCTGGAGATGGATGACTTTGCAAAAACTCCCCTACGCTTTCATGATCCTTGTAGTATTCTAGAATCACCATCCCAAGGGTAGCCATCTGGGGTAAGAACGAAGATGGACTTGGGAGCTCCATTTCCAGGGGGATTTTCATTAATTTCATCAAGACAAAGTTAATAATCCATGACAGCCATTTTTTTCTTTAGTTGGTTGTTCTAAACATGTTAGAGTCTTTTCGATAAATCTCACAGCTAGAGGCTAGGAGAAATTAGTTTGCTTTCTACACTGTCATTAGGAAAGAAAGAAGTGGTAATAGTTTCTGAGAAAACTTGAAGGGAATGGCTTGTAAATGAGATGAATATACAAGCTTCCCAAGTGTTGGGCAGAGGAGTAAATAAATCCACACTCCCCTCCCATCCTAGCCCCAAAGAAGAATGTAGACACAACACATGGGAAGAGACAGAGATTTCTTCAATAAAGTACTTTACTTATCTCTATATAAAGTGGCTTCTAAAGACCATTTAACTTGGATTCTGAGTCTCAGATTATTAGCAGAGTCATATATTCCTTTTGATGGTCTTCAGTGAGCAGGGTCTTCCATGAAGAGCTAAATGGGATCGAAACACTGTCCGTCTTGTTCAGACGAGGTGGTAGTGAATGAATGAGTCATGCAGACAGTGAAAAGTACAAAGCTTGTGGTCCAGGGCCGGAGGGGCAGGAACTGCTCTCCTGTACAAGGTAATACTTACACCTGCCAAAATACAGGTGTGTGGGCATGTTCAGTCTTTCTGCAGAAACTTCAGTTAAACTGACCTCCTCACCGGTACTGTTGGTATTGTTAACAGACTAGTCCTGTTCTACATGTTTCCACATGTTCTCTCATTCTCTTTTCATGGTGACTCTCTAGGGTAGCATGTTTTCATCACTTGGATTGACAATGCACAGAATAACAAATAAATATTGATTGCTTAAAAAACAGCTAGACGCATTAGGATTTGCAACCAGGCAGTTTGGTTGGTGCTCCTGGTGGTGATGGTGGTACAACTGCTACAAACAAGTTCCTATGGCTTTGTTCTATATTTTTCTTCCTTATGTGGGACCTGTTTCCCAGAAAGAACAGAGACAGGGCCCTGAAGTGTGTGACTCAGAGCCTTTGTCACATGTTTGGGTGCATGCCACTTTAGTAGGCCATCAACTGAACATCCCCTCATCCCCAAGTCTCCCTTGCTCTCTTCCAGAGAGCCGACCCTTTGCTCCTAGCAGGTCTGAAGTGCTGGAGACAGCCTGTCTCCCTACACCTGTGGGTCCATAGCAAGAAGTCAGCGTGGACTTTGACTACAAGTGTAGGCCTCTCTCCTCTCCCGCATCCTGCACTGCCCATGTCTGTGCAACAGAAAGTGACTCTCCTTTGGGGGACACTGAAGCAGTTTAACTTAATGAGAACTGGGAAGTAGCTATAGGGATAGGAGGTAGGAAAGGGGGAAACGATGACAGAAACTGGGAAGGGGTAAAACACAACCTGAGAGATCATCAAGGGAAGGAGAGCTATGGGCTTAGGCCCAGCCAGCAAAAGGATACGCACACATGCATGCATGCATGCACGCACGCACGCACGCATGCACAGGCACAGGCACACAGAGTAGGAACACTCATATATATGGCCTGGTCCTTTTTCTACCTTTGTACATATCCACATGAGAGGGAGAATGATGCAGACAGGGTTCTAGCGAGGGGCACTCACTTGGTCCTTATCACCTCTTCCATTCCTGGGGGGGGGTGAGTGAGGGGGAGGACAAAACAAAATTATACCTTAGGCATTTCTAGCACACAACCCAAAGTCTCTGGTTGATGCAGTGTCAATGTCCACTGTTGCAGGCTCTTAGTCAAATCCTTACCGCCTCTGAAAATCCTACCTATTCTATCCTGCTCAAGACAGGGAAGGTGCTCCAGCTGTAATCAGGTTTATCTGTTTCCTACCCAGTGAGAAGTTTCTCATGTGCAACATCTTTGAGACAAGTTTTCTTCTCCGTCTGACAGTGTAAGGTTATAGACGTAGATTCAATGCTTTCACGAAGAAAGATTCCCAAGATTCCCATGGTCCTCTCTCCATTATGAAGGTCCTCCGATAGGGTGACACCAAAAGGTACTACATAAGGTTGACCCTCATTGGGCATATACAGCCAGCCCTGATCTGAACTCTGGGTTTCTACTCTTCACTCCTAGCTGAAGAAAGAAGGCAGGAATGATTTCAGATGCTGAGTGCTGAGCATACCCTATGTGCAAAGTTGTAGGCAATGTTCACAAACCCAATAGGAGACACTTCCTTTTGTCACATGGCCCCCTTAAATATCATCGTGTTTTCTTGTGCATCATATTCCAAATCATATTTCAATGTTGTGGATTCAGGGAAGCCAGTGGGCATTCACCACACTATTTCCCTGTTAATATCTACGCAGAAAACTATCTGTAAATGGGCAGAATTTGCACCTATTTGCTATGACAAAACCACAGGGCTAGAAGATGAAGACCATATACATACCAAGACAGTGACTGGAGTATTAACAAAAAAAATTTTTATCTCCCTAGGAAGGGGTACAGTAAATGGCCATGCCCTACACCTGTTCTCTGGTCATTTTGCTTGGTAAAAATCCTGTAGTATCCTTGCTGGTCTTTACTTCAGCACTTAGCAGATGTGGCAGGATGGTGCCACATGTTTTAAAAGGATGGTGTCTGTGTGAGTGACTTCTTACAAGGAAAAACTCAAAGGAAGTCTCCATCTTTAGCCCTGCCACTCAACACAGAGGCCTAAGAGAAATCTGCCCCACCCCAACCATGTAACTTTTAAATACCAGACGTACCCAGTGAGCAAGTGAGCCCTTCCTGCTGATACCAGGCATAATTACCACTAATGCTACTATGAGACACTTGTGTCCAGTTGACTGGTTTCCATTTGAGCAAATGACAGCATTTTAGTCATTAAAGCAGGTGGGTAACTATGTTCAGCTAGAGCCCAGCAGGGCCAGCATATCTTCTGTTTCATGGTGTGGGGAGAGCCCTGCATGGAGGAGACACTGTGTACTGACCTGCAGCATTTGGAGGTAGCCTTCCTGTGGATCACAGAGCAGAGAAGAGATGCGGTGGTTATTCCTCATGCATTTCTGGTTGTCCTTCGCAGATGGGAAAATTTGCCGGACCACGGTCATCCTGCCAAGGGCACTGTGGACCAGATCCAGGATCTCGGGATCACTGATTTCCTGAAGAAATAATCAGATCCATGCTTATACCCTCATGAATTAAAAAAAAAAGTCACTAGGAGGCATCCAGGCCCAAAGCCCAAACAGATAATGCTGGAGAGGTCAAAGGGTTAGTCCCAAGCTATACATTTCATTAGTTGCTGCTTTACAAAAAAATATTTACCATCTTTTACATTTTACATTTACATTCCCTCTGAAATCTTGTCTACAGTAAGCACCAAGGTACAGTAGAGGTCAGATATAATCCTTAACTATAGAGCATACCAATTGTGCCAGTGATCAAAGACATCTATTGTCCAAGATTTAGGTACACTAGGTGTTTTAAACGCATTTCTTAATGCCATGCTCAAAAACAACCCTAGGAATGTCAGGAAGGGATCAATGATTATGGCATTTCATCCTCGAGCATAGAGATTGGAAAGGGAGCTACTTATAGGAATATCTTTCCAAAGGAAGCTTCTATAAGAAATCAGCCTTAAACTAAGCCTAAGAATGAACATAGGTAAAGAAGGTGTGTGTGTGTGTGTGTGTGTGTGTGTGTGTGTGTGTGTGCGTGCGTGCAAAAGGCAAAGTATAGCTGGGAAGCTGGCACTACAGGGTCTGCAGGGACTAGATGGACTCTGTTCCTTGTAGAGGCATAAGTGGAGTTGAGTCAGATGGGGTTCATACATTCCGCTTCAAACAAACAACAGCAACATAGAAAGTAAACCTTTTCCCTTGGGGTAGTAAGGAGCTTGAAACATTTTAGGTACAAATATGCTATAATCAAAATGGCCTTTTTTGAAAACTTCTGGTTGCTTATGGGGGCAAGGATTAGAGAGGAACAAACTGAGGAGGAGGAGACAGAGAGGAGAGTTGATGGCTGCACAGATGGGTCTAAAACTGAATTACAAAGAAATGGAAACCAGTATTCACACAGTGTTCCAGCAGTGGGTCTGCAGTCAGATGAAGGACATCCCAGGCTCACTGTCTCTGAGAAATTACTACATTAATGCTTGGCTCCAAGTCAACATTTTAACTAAAATAGTTGTATTTTAAAATATTCTTTAAATCTTCTTTGCAGATGACCCATTCTAGAGTTGAGACCCTGTGACAGTACAAATGAAGCCAGCCAGGCAGGAAATTAGTGGCTGGAATTTTGAAATCATTTAAATGAGAGCATAACATTTAAGGGGTAAGATGCTAAATCAAGCATTTAGTGTCTGCCTTAGGATGCTGTGTGTGTGTCTGTGAAGCCTGTTCAATTGATGGCACTTGCTAGATCTGGAAGAGAGTAAAGCACAAAAGCCCATAGCTTAATTGTTAGTTCCTAATATACTGAACTACCCTATCTCACAAAAGTTAAAATGCTATTACATTGCAGATCTAGACCCATGTCACTGAAGTTTATATTCATGATGCATTGGGACCAGAGAGATTCCAAAGTAAAGAATTTGGTCAGAAGGGACAGTCTCTGAACACAAACAGTTTCAGAGTGGGCAGAGAATGAGCAGAGCCTGGACATGTGCACTCAGTTCTGTTCTAGTGGCCCTGGGGACCAAGGTCCTTGTGAGAGCACAGGGTAGAGGATGAAAGAAATCACAGCCTAATCTCAAGGGATGAACAATATCAGAAAGAGTAACAAGTAGATGGTTCCCTTTGCCTAAACTAGAAGAGGAGAGGATTTGGGGAGGGAATTTCTTATCTAGAAAATGGATGATGTCAGCAAGACTAAGTGGCTCATGCTTGTAATCCCATCACTGGAGAGATCGAGGGAGAACTGCTGTAGGTTCAAGGCCAGCCTGGACCACATAGTCAATTATGGGCCAGCATGGCCTAGATTGAGAGCTTGCCTCTAACTAATAAAACAAACAAATGAATAAATAAGCAAAATGAAGGAAATGAGAAATGTAGTTGTCATGAAATACAAAACTGGTTTTGAGCATAAAGGTGTTAGAGACAACACAGCCACAAGTCAAAACAAAATGTGTCTCATGCCATTTGTTTTTCCCACACATTCTTGAAAAATGCTACTCTAGAGGCAACAGCCATTTTCCTAGAAATCATTTTATTAAGCCTCTCCTGCTTCTTAACTTCCAGTAGGACAAACGGAAACACCCAGTTCTCACCACCGTACTCTAGACACATTTTGGAGATTAGTTAGGGATTTGACATTTGATATACCTAGTACTTTCCATGGCAACCTTCTGCTAATCAATGGTGAACACCTAAGGTATACTGTGATGTGGCCAGCTGTGGGGACTCAATGCTTTCCCCCATCTGCCCTGATTTGCCAACTATCTCTCTTCTATTTTGCCCACTCAGGATGCTTTGAAGACTTGACACTGCTTTATGGAACCCTAATAGCTTCCATGTGCCTCCCGAACAGTAGGGATCTGCTGGAACCTTGTATAAACTCTTGCTCCTTTGGCTCAGTTCTGATCTACTAGCCATGGGTCACAGCATGGTCCTGCTTGCTAATGAACACCTAGATCATGCCCTTAGATCCTTCTTGTCCAATCCAGAGATATCTGCAATAAAGATCTAGGAGTCCACTCAATTATTTGCAGAAAACCAAAAAGGTTGAATCCAGACCTTGCGTTAAACCTGAATATAGACAAAGGGTTCATTCAAACAGCTGCACACCAGTATCTACTCTTGTCCTGCTAGCCCTGCTGGGTTCTATAAGTATCACAGGAGTGAACACAGGGTGTGTACCTCTATACCAATGCAAGAGACCCCACACTCTAGACTTCCTCTACAGAAGGAAACGCAGCCAATTTAAGTGAGGAGATTGGAGGGTAAACTTCCCCTTGTCCTAGTTAAGCATGCATTTGAATAGTGCTGCTGATAAATGAAAGCAGCAGGGCAATGTGTCTGCACCCCTGTGGAATAAACTAGCAGAGGAAAAAAAAAAAAAAGCAGTGTATCATCTGATGCTCACTGGAGAACTCAGGATCAAAAGAGGCTTTAATTTTTACATTGAAAGTTATGTTTCACTGTGAAATATGCATGATCATTTTGTACATTAAATATGAATAATGAAATGAATTCACTGTGTCTTCCATCAAACTAAGAAGTAAAATGATGCCCACATCTTAGTTGGATGGTTTCTCATGCTTACTCCTCCCTTCTTGCCACAAGCAGCATTTGTTATGCAAGGGCCTAAATGGCATGTAGCTTAGTCTTGCACATTTTGGCTAACTGTGTAAATGCTGCACAACATGGATCCTTCCTTGACCCTGTTTAACTTCGTGTTTCTGATACTCTGTTGCACATCAGAGTCCTCTGGGAGCTTGATAACTCTGCAGGAATCTAGCCCTGCTCCACTTCGAGGAGCAAGCTCTCTGGGTTTTCCATGAGCACACTAAATAATACCCCAGTAGTCACCAATGTTTAAAGCTACCTGCTCATGGGATGGAGAGATGGCTCAGTGGTCAGGAGCCAGAACCCATTTGGAGACAAAGTCATCTGTAACTCCAGTTCCAGCAATACCCTTGCCTGGCTCTGAGGGCACTGCATGAACATGGTGCACATGTAGGCAAAGCACCCAGAAAGTAAAAAAGAAATAATTATTTAAAAATTAAACAACCAGCTAGCTAAGCATTAGAGTTCTGAGGTTTATCCATGATGGTGGCTGTAGCTCTGATTTGAGTTTTTAAAGGTGTGTGTGACAACACTACATCATTTGTTCACCTATTACTGATAACTTTCTGATGTTTCACTTGTTAGCTTCTATGAACAATTTCCTATGTGTCCTTATGAACTTCCGTAAGAATTTCTCTTGTATATATCATATACCTAGGATTGCGGTATCCTGATAAGACAATAGGAATGAGGGTTGGAAAGATGGCTCAGTGGCTCCTCTTCCAAAGGACCTGAGTTCAAATTCCCAGTACTCACAGGGTGGCTCACTGTGTGTAACTCCAGCTCCAGGAAATCTAATCAACTTCTGACCTCCTTAGGCACCAAGTGCTCATGGAGTATACAGACATACATTGCATGCAGAAAGAAAATAGAAACAACTTTTTAAAAAGAGAATAGGAACATGCTCAAATTTATTAGAAAATGTCAAATTTCCAATGAAATAGTACCAATTTATAATTATAATTTATAATTTATACCGATCATGTGTGACAAAGGGAGTCTTGCCTACTTACCTACACCTTATATATGACATGATTTCCTAAGATGTGTCGGTCTCATGAGTATGGACTGGAACACTGTTGAGGTTTGCTTTCCTTACCTTAATACTTAACATGGTTGAATATCTCTCATACATTTCTGAATCTCTTATATCTCCTTCCCTATATGTGTGTATTGTTAAATTTTCATTGGGTGAATATCTTGCACATGGATTAATGTTTCTCTTATTATCTTATTCTAAATAAGGCTTGTCATGTCATATGTCTTCTCTAAGATGAGTGATCTTTGATTGAGTCAGGCTTTAAACCCTTCTAAGCTCAGGCCTAGAGGGCCTTGCTTTGTGGTCACTGTGCATACCTGCTTCTTATGACTTTGCTACACAGTTGCTGGTGTCAAAGATCTATTTTCAGGTCCATTAGATCAGGACTTTGTTTATTCTTGAATTCTGTCTATGTTTTCTTGACATATTTTAAAGACTTGCTATTAGTTATATACACGTTTAGAAGTCTATGTCCTTGCTGAGCTGACAATTTTATTACTATTTAAATATCCTCTTTATTTCTTATAATGCATCTTGCCTTATACTTTACTGTGTCTGCTGTTACTATAGCTATGCCATTTGTATGGTGGTTATTATCTACATTTTTCATCTCCTTGTTTTCCTTTGATTTTTTATCTGCCTCATGTTTTAGCTGGGATACCTGTAAACAAAATACACTAGAAATATTTATACCCATACCTGAGATAAAGTAGAAGTTCTAATCATTTATACTGATTATGACTATTTGTATGTTTCTATCATATCATTTATATCTTGCTACTTATTACCACTTACCAAACTTGAAATGATTTTTTTACTACTTCCATTTATTGAT